TTGATCCAGGAAGCTAGTCCCAGTTCCATCTCCACCTTGGTATTTTAAGTATCTTAGTTCCCCTTTTGCTATTTTTATTAACTAGGAAACATCCCAGACTTTTATATTCTTTAGTTTTAGTATATTAAAGTTTGATTTCATGCATATATATACTTGTCTGAACTTCAGTCTGCTCAGTCTGCATGGGAAAAGTACTAGGGAAAGAAAACTCTTATGGTTTAAGCAGTCCTAAATATTGTTTCATAAAACAATTCGGTGCGTTCTGTTTTCACAATTTAAGGTTCCGAGAATTTTGAAATTATTGGTAGTTTCAGGTATATAAAGATTGTCATCCTTCTTAATAAAAATATTTCACTGAAGTCTGTATTATCTATGCATAGAAGGAGCAGGAAAGGTATGGATTAGTCACCATATGAGCATGGAGGCCTAAGGAGGAAGCCTTATAATTGATCCAGGCCTTGTGATTTAGATATGACATAGCTTGGCTTCAGCATTAAGTTCCTGACAGCTTTAATCCAAAGGTTAAATTGATTTGGATGATTTTGTTTAGTTGCAATTTAGAACGAAATTGCCAGCTACCCCTTAAAAATCCATTTTAGAATTTATAAGGATTACTTATTTTTTGGCATTAATTCCATCCAATGTTGAGTCTTATTTGTTTATTTTAATTTTGATGGCCATAACGTTTCTTTTTAAATTTATTTTCAAGGTATTATGAATAGCTTAGCTTTGGTGATGTATGTGTATGTTTTAATTTACTTTTTAAACAATAATTATAAAAGATTTCTTTTAGTAAGTGACATGGGTCCAATAGTTTTCAGGACCTGGTTGGATATGAGCTAATCAGTCTAAAAAACTGATGAGTTTCTTCTAATTAATCTTTGGTTCTCAAATGGTGAAAAGGGTGCCTAAAAGTCAAAGTTTTGAGTGGGGAAGATTTTCTTGGGTATAGACACTACAGAATGAAATAAAGTAAGTGAAATTCCAGATTATTAAAACGAGAGAAAATGTATTGAAGAAAAAGAGATTGCAAATAATTCAGGTGGTTGTCCTTTACAGTACTTTTTATGGTTCTATTTACTCCTTTTAGATTTCTTTTTTTACCTTAGAGTTATGTGGTAATATATGGGCAAGATCTAAATATTTTTATTTTTTACAGGAATGTAAAGAAATGGTTGCGTACTTCAGCCATCAGTTACTGGACAGTCTATTAAAAACCACCCGACTATCTTTGGATACACTTAAAAAAAGAATATTTGTTTCAAAGTAAGTCAAAAGTGAAGTATTACTTCACAATAGATGCCTAATTAGTGAATACTAAAGTGATAGTATGAAAACTTAGTTTATCTTTACTGCCAAAAGATGATAAAAAGCATCAAGGAAAAATTAATTTTTTTACTGATGTAATTATTTGTTTGTGTTATAAACAGGTGCAAAACTCCCTTTTTGTGACACAAACCTTTTTAATAACGTTCAAGCTATCAATAGAATGTTGACAAACTAGAGCTTTTGGCAGTCTGACATATTTCAAATTAATTTCTGTTTCGTTCCTGGTGGCACCACAATGTAGCGGGTGCTTTACAGAAATTCAAGAGGCAGTGGTTTCCACCTCAAGCGACGCCCATCCTGTGGACTGGCAGACAGACAAAGACTGAAGGAAGAGAAACAAAAAATAGCAATTTTCATACAAGTCAATTAGGTCTACAACCTCTTCCCTTAGGTATCAAAGCTTTAAAAATAAATGAGTTTGGTCTGTCATGCATGAGAGAGCTGAGAACTTGGGGTGAGAGTTCTCAAAGATATTAACTTCAGAGAAGCTGAAGACAGAAGTACAGATAAAGCTGTTTCTTTTTATAGTAACTAAAATGATGTTTGCTATGTATTTTAAAATAATTGTATGGTGGAATATGCAATGTTTTTCAATATTCTTTCAGCACCAGTTCCTTTGGACGATCAGGCTTTTTTTCTCAGGCAAGCAAATCTGAAGAAGTTGTTTGCTTTCTAAAAGCTGAAGTACATCTTGCTATTCCTAATGTGGTAAGTAACTTGTGATATTATGTTTAATAAGGTAAAATATGCTACCTAATAATTGCCTCTGCATGTCCTCAGTTGTGTAGTGTGTACACACCAGTGCTGAACCTGGAAACATGGTATGCAGGAAAATATGACAAATAACTCCCAAGTAATGCTTCAGTCTCTGGGCCTCTGTACTGCAATTTAGAGGAGCAAGCAAAGCAAAAAAGTCTTTTTCAAGAAAATTCTCCATCATCATTATGGCTTAGACAGTTGTTACACTTTTCCAGCCATATCTTTTGTTTTAGCACAAGAAAAAGCAGCTAGCCACACATTCATGCTCTTTGTCTCACTAAAAAAATGGCCAGTCTGCCACAAAGAGGACAGATTCACAACAAAGAAGTTGCTTGAAGTTATTTGAAACAGGAACTTCTTGGGCTTTCTGGGACAAATTTAACATGTGGTCAGGTCTGAGAGACCCCACTGTACCCACAGTGCTCCTCTCTCCCTCCCCCTCTTCCAGCAGGTAGCTGTCAGAGCCCTGTAGAGACTGGTTTGCAGGCAACCCTGTCCTGGTTGCTGTCGGATAGCAACAGGGACAAGGACAGAACAACAGGAGGGATTGTAGGCAGCACCAGTCTTGTCTTGGGCTTCCCATGAGCCCTTAAAAGTTCCCTGCTTGGAAGCCGCCAAGATTGGAGCACCCCTTGCAGCGGTATGATCCAGTCTGTGTGTTCCAAATGGGGAGCTTTAGAGGGCTCATAGAGCTTTAGATGCAGCTGGAGACCACTCCATGCTCCAGCTTCTCTGGTCTCAATCAGCTGTTGCTGCCAGAATGGCAACAGCTGATCATGTGAGCCTATCAGTGACAGCTCTTGTTTACAGAAGCTTATACATCTTAGATTTAGTTAGTCTGTAAGGTGCAAAACTACCCTGACTTCAGACTAACACATCCAACTACCTCTCTCCATAATTTTACAAGAAAAGACTTAATTTCCACAAGTAGACAAGTCTTCCTTCATTTACTGTTGCCATGCATTTACCTTTGGACTAGAAGTCAGAGTTCTGCTGCTGTGGCTTGAGAATCTTGAGTCAGACTGCAAAGATGTATAGCATTTCCCTCCTTCCTTTGTCAGTTCCCTTTCTTTTCTTGTGGATGCTTGGGCTTAAGTGAAAAATTAACTAGCTAGGATATTTAATTCATTCTTAATCTCTGAGCCTTTTATTCCCACTTCCCCTGTATATTTTCAAGGATCCTTCTTATAAAAGCATGCTATGTATAAACATCTTCAAGCACATCAATGTCAGGGAATCACTGGGATGTAAGCAGTCACCCTGGGGCTTGACACGAAAGGTTCATGATTCAAGGTATCAGAAGTAGGCAAGGTCAGGGAGTCACAAGCCAGGGGATCAGAATCAGATGAGGTCAGGAGCCAGAAGCAGGTGTCACACTTGAATGTGGATGGCCAGATCTGGGCTCACTCAGGGATCAAGCCACCGGCAAGGGCTGGGGTAGGTAAGAGGAACCTGAGGTCAAACCAGGTTAGGAAGCCAGGAGGCCAATCCAAAAGTAAAGTTCAGGGACAAGCTATGTCAAAAAGCAGTGGGGTATCAAACAAAAGTGAAGTCTAGGGATGGGTTGAGTCAGGCAGCTAGGAGATCAAACAGAGGGTGACATCAAAAAGCAAGCCAGAGAAAGCAGCAAAGTAGACTTGAGTCAGGTTGCCCAGTTGCCCAGACACTTCCTGTTCTGGGTAAGGGGTCTATATGGGGGAAGTGAAAGTTAAATAATCCTAATTTGGCCATTCTGCTGACAGGGAATGGGTGGAGGGTTAGGCCGTACTGGAGGCTTCATGCTAGCTTTGACCATCTTGGGTGGCAGACTGAGGTGAGTGGCTGTGCTGTCAGGCCAAGGCCCTAAGTTCAAGGCTGTGGCCTGCCACTGTAGTCTGGACTGAAGCCACAAGCTTGGGGGGTGCAGTTAAGCCAAATTAATCTGTTGGTTAACTTTAGGACATTTATTACAGCTGGTCACCAGAGATTCTTACATGATGCTCCTACTGTTATTCTGTCTAGATCCCAAGCTCTGTTAAGACACATACACTTTCACCCCTATTTATTCAACAGAATTTACAGAGGCAGAACTGAAAGCTTTTACAATG